GTTACTACGGTATCTTATTTTACTGCACCAAAGGGAGTCAATGCCTTTTCTTTTTGCCCCACAATTTTCCCTTCCCTTTTTCCTCCCCTATTTTCCTACTATTTTCTTTTGTATTTTTGTATTATATATTATAGACTAATAAAAAATATTTAGATCCAAAGGTTCTGTCTTGGGCCCATGGTCTCCAACTTCTTCATACATTATCTAGATGAGGGGATAGAGAATATCAGATTTACAGATGGCACTAAGCTGGGAAGAGTTGCTAACACTTTGGAAGATAAACTCAGGATTCAGAAGGCTCTTGACAGAAATTTTTCATAGTACCTGACTGCAGGACAAGAAGCAATGGATAGAAGCTCACTAAAGAGAGATTTAACCCAGAACTGTGGAGAAATTTCTTGACAGTGAAAACAATTAATCAATAGAACAGCTTGCCTCCTGAAGTTATCACTGGAGGTTTCAAGAACAACCAGATTTCCAGGATGGTATAAGATCTCCTGCCTTGGGCATGGGATTGGACTAGAAGACTTCTAAGGTCCTTTCCAGCCTACAATCCTATGGACAGAAAGGAGATAGGTCATGACTCTGCTTTTTCCTCCTCTTTCATCTATTCCTCAGATCATGGAAACTCTATGAAACTGAGAGTTAGCAAAGCGACCTATGAAGAAACAATTTTCATGCATGCATGTCATAAGCGGCTTTGCTTTATACTGTTGACATTTGAATTATTTTGCTTAAGATTGTCCTGCCCTGAGAAAATATCTGAAGCATTTATTAGCCATGAAGCTGACATGTGGAAAAAGGTGGCATTTGGCAAGTCAAGGTAAACAATTTAGACCAGGCTCCAAGCCTGCCTGTGATGGGACATTATCCTGTCTTCCACCTCAGGTTGCTCAGGGAAGGAGGCAAATAACAGTGAAAGGGTGCTCAGATTGATAATGCTCAGGATAGATACTAGATCCTTACTCTTACTGCTCAGTCACATTGGTTTGTTCCTCTCCTCTCCCTCCCCTCTCCCACATTCACTCCCCCAGAATCTGTGCTACTCTATTGTCGTTTTCCTCTGCATGTTCCTGTAATGCAAGAGATGGATTGCCCTCACATGTTTATAACCTACACATCTATTAGATAAAAAAGGAACAGAATTTGATGCTTAGGATTGCCCCATTCACCATTTTGAAGAGCTGAAACACTTTCTTTATCCTGCACTGATCAGACTTTTCACTGTAACTGTCAAACATTCTAAATGTGCTGACTTGCTAGGAAGGAAGCATGAATCATTTAGAGTCACAGATCCTGTAACTGCACTATAAATATGGTTTTGAGAGTTTGGACCATATGTCAGTATCCTACAGTGCCAAAGAAATTGGCTTATCAAAAATAAAAAGTCAAAAGTTTCCCCTGTCCAGTTGTGTCTGACTCTAGGGGTGATGTTCATCTCCATTTTTTTAGCCAAAGGAGCTAGTATTGTGTGAAGAAGCTACTGTGGTTATGTCGCTGGCATTACTATATGCCAATGTGCACAGAACACTGTTACCTTCCCATCAAAGTGGTACCCTATTTATCTACTTGCAGTTGCATGGTTTTTCACTACTACATTTGCAGGAGCTGGGGCAAGTAACAGAAGCTCACCCCTTTGCATGGTGTTTTGGGGTCTTTCAGCTTTCTAGCTTACAAGCTCAGCATCTTCAACTGCTGAGCCATTGTACCTCCCTAGTTTGCAGAAACTTACAGAACATTGGAAGACTTCCATTCCCAGCACGTTTGCCGGTGTTTTTTGTAACAAAACAATATTTCTGTAAAAAAAAGGGACAAGTCTTTTGGCCACAGATGACATATTGTTGTCCATAATCTGCAATGTCTGCAGCAGTGTTTCTCAACCTTGGCAATGTTAAGACATATGGACTTTGGATGGATGGATGGATGGATGGATGGATGGATGGGGAATTCTGGGAGTTAGCAATAGTAATAGCACTTAAGACTTCAAGAAGGATATGCTGCTCTGAAAATATTTCTGTCTGGCAATTTCCTGGATTTGGGCTAATTGCTGTGGTGTTTGATTTATCGTTTGGTTCAAGTGATCTATCTGGGCCACCATGTAATAATGATGTTGGGCCACAGAAGCAAAGTTTTCATAACCTTTTCTGCGTATGGTGATGATGCAAAGGATTATCATTGTCTGGGTGTAGAAACTGGAACTGTGTTTTTTTCCTCTCTTGTGAAAAAGAGAGTAATGAGTTAATGAAATTGCTGTCAAACCGCTCAATAGATATTAGAACTGGAACCAACACAGGAAACAATTCAAGGACAAAAAATTCTGGTAAATAGGTTTATTTCAAGAAGCTGTCATGAAATGACTGTAAAATAATTCCAGTGACTGCTTATGTAACAATTCAAACCCTAATTATATTGAAATCAAGGATAACTTTTTGTGGGTTTTTCTTTCTACTGTCATAGACACACAGTAGAGATCACCCAACAGCAGATTAAATAGAGGAAGTTTTTGCTAATCAGCTAAAATATGGAGGAAGCCTGCTATAGTAGTAATGAAGGACTTCTAATTGTCCTGATATGAACTGGGAGACAAATTTTGCATCAAGTGGGAGATCAGGTTCCTGACGAATGCACCAGGCCATTTTGGCATCCAAAAGGTAGAAGGGGGAACCAGAGGCTCAACTATACTGGACTTAATCCTTATCAATAGAGATGAAATGATAGGAGGTTGCAGGAACTTTGAGGGAGAGTGACCATGTCATATTGGAATTCAACATAATGTAGGCACAAGTAATTAAAGTCAAAAGAGCATCTCAAACTTTTAAGAGCTGACTTCAACATCTTAGAATTTAGGAAGATTCCAATGGCTGGAAACCTTGAAGGTGAAAGAAATCAAAATGCCTGAAAAAATGAGAGTATAAAAGGCCAGTCTAACACAATACCACAGAGAAAGAAAAATAAGAAACCCCGAACAAGACCAGCATTGTTGCATAAAGAACTCTCTCATAAACTGAGAGACAAAAATGACTAGTGTTAAAAAAAATGGAAAGAGAGACACATAACTCAAACAGAATATTGGCAAAAACCCTGAATCTGCAAGGATGAAGTCAGGAAAGCACATGATACTAGTCCATTCGTGGACTAGAGAAAGGCTTGAGCAGTTGTTGCTAGTGCTTCCCATCCTAGGAATTGTTGTAACTGGTGTACTAGCCAAAGCTGGAACCATGGCCTCCTGTTGCTGCTATAGCAGGAACTGTGGGTCTAAGTTCCCTCATACTGTGGGCTAGTTCCTCTGGGGGGAGCACAAATCTTGAAGAAATAGTGTTGGAATTATCCCAGAATAGAGTGTTGTTGGATTATTTTGGAATTCGACATATGCACACTCTCATGTTACAGCCATTAACTTATTTCAACAATGTTTATGCCTTACAGCAGACTATCCAATTTTCCTATCAGCATTTGCAGAACTTAAAGTTTCTGTGTTAATTATCCCATTCTTACTAAACATTATACCCAGTTACAGAAATCCATCTATTTTTGTCATTTATCAGCAACCTTTCACCCCACTTCTCCAGTCAATCAGAATTGATTTCATCCCTGATACATTAATTTTCTTATTTGCTTATTCATATGCCTCATTGCATCACACAGTCTGTCTAGCATTCATTACAAATCATTCAGGTTGTCAAGCAACAAGGAGTATCTTATTGTGCAAATTTATGTCCCAATCAATACCCTTTTAACTTCTTCACAAGCATTTATTATATAGTGATCAATAACTGCATTAAGCAATTCAGCTGCCATCACACGTTCTGCTCAGCGTTGAATCATTTACTAAGCATTTCATTTATTCTTATACATGCGTAACTTCCATCAGATAGTGCTGTTACTAAATTGAACAGCCAGAGAATATATGTTTTCTCATCTATTTACTTATAATAGTGGGTCTGCCTACAAGATGGACCCTGTTAGATAATTCCCCTACATTATTGATCCTCTTAATCACTCTTTAATACTCTCAAAACTGTCTTTAACTGTCTACCAATACATCACACCAGATCTCTTTTGCTTCTCTTTCAACTTTCATCCTGATAGCTGATCCTTCAAGTTCTTCAAAATTATATTCTTTTATTTTTCTAAACTTTATCTGTTTTTATATATTTTTTGTCCTTTGAAGTCGTCTTTTAGGCTTCACTTGTAGTATTAATATTAAGAACTTTTCCAGGGACATTTTAAGGTTGTAATTTTATAACATCATGTTAGTAATTCTAACTTCTAGTTATTTCCTTATTACTTACAGGTTACAGTGAAATTATTGAAATTGGTGTAATTTTCCTTTTTTGTATTTTATGTTGGACTGTAACCAAAAGAAACTAATTTTTAATTTAATGTTGATTGTGGACATTTCCCTAATACAAAAGTTTGCTAGATAAAGAAATATAAGTTTATATATCATTTCCATATATGTATTCATTAACTAGTCAACATACATTAGCACAGTGTTTTCCAACCACTGTGCCGCGGCACACTAGTGTGCCGTGACATAGTGTAAGGTGTGCCGTGGGAAAAACACTTTATATATAGTCAATATAGGCACAGAGTTAAAATTTTTTAACATTTTCTAATGGTGGTGTGCCTCGTGATTTTTTTTCATGAAAAAAGTGTGCCTTTGCACAAAAAGGTTGAAAAACACTGGTCTAAAGTGTATCCGTTGCATTCTGGAGCAATCTATGATGGTATGTTTGAAGCTGAAAACATTTACTTAT